GGCAATCAAGGAAGCTGTTCTTGCCAAGGTTTAACTGTGTTTTCGAAACAGAGATCGCAAGTGATGGAAGATGTTGAGAGACTCTTATTGGTGTGGATAAATGAAAAACACCTAGCAGGAGATAGCGTCTCTCAAGCGATCATAAGCGAAAAGGCTAGGAAGTTGCATGAGGATTTAATTAAAAAAATGCCTGCAACTAGTGATGATTTTGAGTGAATTTAAGGCCAGCAAAGGTTGGTTTGAGAGATTTAAGAAGCGTAGTGGCATACATAGTGTGATAAGGCATGGTGAGGCTGCCAGTTCGGACCACAAAGCAGCTGAAAAATATGTGCAGGAATTCAAGGAGTACATAGAAAGTGAAGGACTGAAACCTGAACAAGTGTTTAATTGTGATGAAACAGGCCTGTTTTGGAAGAAAATGCCAAGCAGGACCTACATTACTCAGGAGGAAAGGCACTCCCAGGACATAAGCCTATGAAAGACAGGCTTACTTTGTTGATGTGTTCCAATGCTACTGGTGATTGCAAAGTGAAGCCTTTATTAGTGTATCACTCTGAAACTCCCAGACCGTTCAGGCAAAAGAATGTCCTCAAGGAGAATTTGTGTGTGCTGTGGAGGGCAAACAGTAAGGCATGGGTCACTAGGGACTTTTTCTATGACTGGTTACACCATGCATTTGCCCCCAATGTGAAAGATTACCTAACTGAAAAGAAATTAGAACTTAAGTGCCTCCTGGTGTTAGACAATGCCCCTGGTCATCCTACAGACATGGCAGAGTGACTTTATGGGGACATGAAATTCATTAAGGTGAAGTTTTTGCCTCCTAATACCACTCCTCTCCTGCAGCCCATGGACCAGCAGGTTATTGCAAACTTCAAAAAACTGTACACAAAAGCTCTGTTTGAAAGGTGCTTTGTAGTGACCTCAGAAACAAGAGACTTTTGGAGAGATCACTTTAATATCCTCAATTGTGTAAACCTTATAGGTAAGGCTTGGGAGTGACTAAGAAGACCTTGAACTCTGCTTGGAAGAAACTGTGGCCAGAATGTGTAGACAAAAGGGATTTTGAAGGGTTTGAGGCTAACCCTGAGAGGATTATGCCAGTTGAGGAATCCATTGTGGCATTGGGAAAGTCCTTAGGGTTGGAGGTTAGTGGGGAGGATGTGGAAGAGTTGGTGGAGGAGGACAATGAAGAACTAACCACTGATGAGCTGATAGATCAACTTCAACAGCAAGAGGCCAGACCTGAGGAAACTGGTTCAGAGGAGGGGAGAGAGAAATTGAAGAAGTTGCCTACTACAAAGATTAAGGAAATCTGTGCAAAATGGCTTGAAGTGCAAACCTTCATGGATGAAAATCACCCTCACACAGCTATTGCAAGCGTGTTGGCAACCTGTACACTGACAATGTTGTGAAACACTTTAGGGAAGTCATAAAGGAACGAGAGGTACAGGCCACTATGGACAGATATGTTGTGCGAAAGAAGTCCAGTGACTCTGAAGCTGGTCCTAGTGGCATTAAAAGAAGAAGGGAAGTAACCCCAGAAAAGGACTCGACACCTCAAGTCTTAATGGAAGGGGATTCCCCTTCTAAACACTAACACTCTCTCTCCCCTCCTCCCATCCCATCAATCATCACCAGATCTTCAATAAAAGTAAGTGTCATGTAATTGTGCATGCCTTTTTCAGTTTGTGTGTATTAAAATTAACATTTCATGTGGTAAAAAATTTTTTTTTTTCATACTTTTGGGTGTCTTGCACGGATTAATTTGATTTCCATTATTTCTTATGGGGAAAATTCATTCGCATACCGAACATTTCGCATAACAACCAGCCCTCTTGCACGGATTAAGGTCGCTATGCGGGGGTCCACTGTATAGTAGTACATGCACAATATATATTGTGCATGTACTACTCTACTAAATGAAGAATAAATGACACTTACCTTTATTGAACATGCAGCAATGACTGATGAGACAGTGTGTCCTGGGAGTGCCTTTTCCTCCTGAGTACTGTAGGTCCTGTTTGGCATTTTCTTCCAGAACAGGCCTTATCACACTGTATGCCACTACGATTCTTAAATCTCTCAAACCAACCTTTGCTGGCTTTAAATTCACCAATATGAGCACTAGTTCCAGGCATTTTTCCCTGTTCACCTGGGTGTTAGTCGACTGGTGTGGGTTGCATCCTGGGAGACAAGATTAAGGACCCCAATGGAAATAAGTTAGACAGTCTTCAATGACACTGACTTTTTTGGGTTATCCTGGGTGGCAAATCCTCTGGGGTTAATTGTTTCTTGGTATTCTCAATAAGCCACACCAACAACAGTGCTACAGCAGCAGCAGACGATGCTACAGCAGCAGCAGACGGTACTACAGCAGCAGCAGCTGACGGTGGTACAACAGCAGCAGCAGCTGACAGTGCTACAGCAGCAGCAGACGATGCTACAGCAGCAGCAGACGATGCTACAGCAGCAGCAGACGGTACTACAGCAGCAGCAGCAGCTGACGGTGGTACAGCAGCAGCAGCAGCAGCTGACAGTGCAGCAGCAGCTGACGGTGGTACAGCAGCAGCAGCAGCAGCTGACAGTGCAGCAGCAGCTGACGGTGGTACAGCAGCAGCAGCAGCAGCTGTACCACCAATAGTAGCGATGGTTGATTGGGGTTTATTATACAACCTGGCCAGCTCGGAGACACGCACCCCACTTTCATACTTATCAATGATCTTTTTCATCTCTATAGTAATTCTCACCCTTATTGCTGTAGGGTTGGCACTAGAAGCTTTCTTGGGGCCCATGGTCACTTATTTTGCAGATAAAATCACCAAAAACACTGTAATAATATGAAATGTTCCGATTGTATGCTTGGATGTTACCGCGGAGGCTGGCTGGTAAACAATGCCACCGGCGGAACATGTGAGCGTGGCTCAGGCCGCACATAGACGCGTCTCAGACGAACAGCGTTGAGCGGGTTTTTTAGCGGTATGCGAGGCAAAATCTTGGCGATAAAATGTAGCGGTATGCGGATTTAACGTTATGTAAGGCCAACGGTATGCGGGGGTCCACTGTATAGGATAGTCACTGATGTTAGTAGACGTTCTTTATTTGCTCATCGCTCGTTTACTATGTCTCTTCTCTTTGCCTACATTCGCTCGTCTTCTCTTCATTTACCACCTTTGTGTTCATGTAGCATCTCGCTTTTCCCTACCCCCTTGGGAAGTTCCGATGGTTCGTGTCTGTTCTTTCCAACTGCCATGTGCAAAATCCTATGGTGGCTTCTTGCTCTTTTTCTTAACCACTTCTGATCTCATTCCCATGCCATTACAGTGTACACCGATGGTTCCAAGTCTTCTAACGGCATCAGATTCACAGTAGTATTTCCAGACAGCGTCGCGTAAGGGCATTTATTATCCTTGGCTGGCATTTTTATGGTTGAATTGTATGCCATTCTTGTAGCACTTATCCATATTGCATCTACACCTGTGTCATCATTTGTGGTTGCTTCAGACTCCATTAGTGCTTTACAGGCTATGTATAAGAAAATTTGATACACCTCATTCCCTGGTTCTTCGTATCCAACTTTGGTTACGCTGTATCTCTAGCAAGCACAAAGATAGTTTTTTTTGCTGGGTCCCCAGTCATGTTGACATACAGGGCAATGAAGAGGCAGACACTGCTGCGCAGTCAGCAGTACATGATCTCCCAGTTTCATAAAGAGGTGTTCCATTCCCAAGACTATTTGACTAATTGCTACCCACCTTCACACCCGTTGGCAACAACATTAGTCTGATCTGCTACATAACAGATTACATTCTATTAAACCAAGATAAGTTTCTGGCTGTCTTCTTGTCATTGATGTCAAGGTTGGGAGACTACTCTCTCCCAATTTCTCATCAGTCGCACTTATGGGTATCCCAGGAAAGGTGTCTTGTTGCATTCTGAGAATTGTCAGGTTCCAGTTTGTTAGTCGTATTCTGTTGGACTGCCCACAATCGACACGCGCAGAATTTACCTCCATCGTCATCACTGCTCTACTGCCCTTTATCTTCCCTTCTTGCTGATGGACCCTCCTTTAACCCAGACTCGTTGACAACTGATTTACTGCACAAACTCCTATGATGCCTCTAGCACTCCTCAACCCTTTCTACCCCTGCACTCCATGCCCTAATAATCCCCCTCCCCCTTGCAACCCAATACCCCTGCACCCTTCCCTGCTGCACTGTATGACCCTTGTCGGTTTAGTGCTTTTTAGATAATTTCCCATATTCTATTGGACTGTACTGTCTATAAACGAGCACAGAATTTTCCTCCTCCGTCGTCACCGCTCTATTATGATAATTGTGGGTTTTTTATTATAATAATAATAATGATAATTGTGGGGAAGTGCTAAACCCATAGGATTATACAGTGCCTGTAGGGGGGAGGGAGGGAAGGTATTCAGGGAACTGGAGGACAGATCCAATTCCCTAGATCAAGAGCCCCTCACCAGTGTCAAGGAACCTCCCTTGAGGGGTCACCACTAACACCTTTATTTTCCCTCCTTGCTGAGAGACCCCACCTTTGACATGGATTCCCTCTGACTTTGACAGCAACCAATTTATTACACAAACTTTGATGATGCCGCCTCTAGTATTTCTCAGCCCTTTCTACCTCAATCATTTGCTACCCTCTACCCCTGTGCTCTCCATGACCTAATAATCATTCCTCTCCCTACCTATTATCTCTGCATCCTTCCCTGCCCGACAGCTCTGTATGACCCTTGTAGGTTTAGTATAATAAAAAAAAGTGCTAATGTGCCCTTATGTACAACCACCACTAATTTTTTCACTAAACTATACCACTGCAAATTTTTACTACCCATCCCTACCCGTCTTAAGTCTTTCCTACTTTCTCTCGAGCTGTGACTTGACAATAGACTGAAATGTCACAAGCTTCTCCTAAGCCATAGTATTCTGACTTGAAATATTTCACTCATCTGTTAAAAATGAAAATAAAAGTCAATATTTCATACATATTTTATTTGACCAGAAGAACCTTGTACTGAGAAGTTACAAAAGAAAAAGGTACAGAGTATGAAGATGGACTGGGATCATATAAGACCTTACATGGGTCAAGCTGCATATTCCAAGATTTATTTATATTAAAAACAATAGCACTATACAGCCCACAGAGATTGTTTTTTGTGGGGGAGAGGGGGGGGGGAAAGCCCAGTCATTACTTTATATTCTATTCCAGGAACATAAATGGGAATGTTCACTTTCATTGTTGCACAAAAGCAAGAGCTTAAAAGAAATCTTGTGTGGAACTGCTTGTACCCAGCAATAAACAAGACCTGTAAGTGATGCACTCAGAAACCTGTGGTTTTTATATACTGTATATTACAATCCACAGGAAAAATTTACATTCTAAATGCATCATCCAGCAGCTATATGCTAAGTATCCCTTTTTTAAACCATGGCCTGAATACATGTGCAGGTAATTAGCAATGATAATACGAAGACTCCTGAATAAAATCCAATCACATGCTTTGTAGAATTAGGTGAAATGGTCAACTTCCAGCATTAACCTACATAGAAAGGTGTGTAGAGTCTGCTGCTACCTGTAAACTATAAGCTCTGGTGTACACAGGCTGTGGCATACTAAGGCTCAGGTGTACATAATACATTTAACTTTTTATGTAAGCCTTCCACAAATTTTGCACATATACAGGTAGGTAGCATTAAAAGCCATAAGCCAAATTTTGCAAACTTAATTGCCTGACTTTAAAACAAGTCAAATTCAGCCAAGTAAACCCACTTCAGTATACTTTGTCATTTGGTAGGCATAATTTTGTATATAGGCCTAAGTAATATACTTTCAGGGCTATGTGTAAAGTATAAAGCATCACTGAGGTCAGAGGCAGATGTAGTTATAGATATAATAATTAAAATAATTATATAAAAAAAGTTTACAGATAATTTGCCAACAGTCCATACAACATCCCTAGTTAGCTCTAAAGGATGTTCATGGTACTTGGGTGGGTGCAAGGGATGGCAGTGGGAATCTTCCTCTACCTGGGGCCACTCCACCTTCATTAAAGTATGTGTTCCTGAGCAATTGAAGGCAATTGTTTTTCTTATGATACCAAAAGTCCACTGCCCCATGGAAAAAACCATGACTTTAATAGTGATTTCTCGATTTTCTTTTTTTTTTTTTTTCTTTTTTTTCACATAATTGGTGGCAAGATGATCTCAATGCCTGAATATCATTACATCTGAGCCTGTTTATCACAGTAATCAAATAAACAAGAAAATGTGAACAAGGGCACCCCTTTGGTACACATCAAAATTCCTTACACTAGCCTTCCCCTACCCATATGGCAGCAGCACAGTCCAGGTGTTCATGCCTCCACAGACAGCAACTCCACATCAAATGTTAATGTGGCATTAGGAGGAATCACTCCCGGAAAACCTCTTTCTCCATAAGCATAATCAGGGCTGCAGACGAGTTTAGCTTTCTGGCCAACAGACATCTTGGGGGGGGGGGGGGGGAGGAAAAAAATTATTACTCAAATCAACACGTACATTATGAGACTATAACTAGTGCTAAAATTATCATGACCTGACCCCCCTTAAAATTCTGCATTTAAAAACACATGCACTAAACCTGTCATTAATTATACTAAGAGGGCAGCGCTGTATAGCCCTTGTGGCTTAGCACTTCTTTTTGATAATAATAATAATATACTAAGAGGTGAAGTGCTAAACCTATAGGGTATGGAAGGCAATAACATTTGCCCCAAGAAATGAAGGAACATTCAAATTCTTTGTATTAAGAGCCCCTCACCAGCATTAAGGAACCTCCCTTGAGGGAGTAAGGATCATACAGCACTGAGTAGGGTGTGTGCAATGCTAAAGGCTAGTGGAGGTGAGGTAGATTTTTTTTTTTTTTTTTTTTTTTGGGGGGGGGGTTGTTAATGTGGGTGCAATAGGTCAGTTTCAATCAAAAAGTTAGTAATATTGCAACTGAACTACTTGATATTTCTTAAATTTCCTCAGCTATTTAAATTACTGGCAATGAACAAATCACTTTCACTAATTTAACATAATGCAAATGCAAAAAGCATTTGCAAAACAATTTTGAATAACCAAAACGTAAAACTCTGAACACTCCTATAGAATATTATGCCAGATGCTGCTTTGATCAACCCAAAGAATATTTTTATACATTAGTCTAGTTTAACAAAAAAATAAGAGATGTACAACTTACAAAGCAGCTGCACTGTGTTATTCAATTCTTTCCACAGAAAAAAAAGGCTAACATTAAATTGTTGCCAACAATGCCAAGTTAGTGAATGGAACACTTTGCTATCAATACTCTACTGGTGAACATGGTATAAAATGCAAACAAGTTGAAGCATGCTTCAGCTTCTTGTTCCAGACCTTGGAGCTAAATTCTTATCCAGGCTGAGGGACTGACTACTACAAACTATTTCTACAAGGTGGATGCACTGATTACATCTTTACCTTGCCACTATTACTGATGCCTACAATCTATTCTCTCACTGAAGCTGCCTACTGTGTTGGCAACAACAGATACACTATACTAACTGCAGTTACCAAACTTAAGCTAGTCACATTACAAAGCAAATTCATGGGGATGCACTAAACACATACAGGCCACAGAGCACCTGGGGAATGAGACATGTGGGATGGAATCAGATCTAAAGGACAAGAATACCTACAATTCCTTATATCAAAAGTTCATCAGTTTCAATTCACCCCTTTGAAGGTATTAAAGAGGACAGAATCACAATGAAATCAAATTTAGTCTCAGTCAAAACTATATAATAAGAGACATGTGCAACATCTGTTTCAGAATATTTTTAATGATGAGCCATATCGCCTGTGTGGCAGGCTTTTTCATTCTAATACAGAGGCAATTATTATTCTACTGAAGACAATGGAAGTGGCAAGGTAATTTTAAGGTAATCAGTCCCTTAGCCTTCATTTGGCTTTTGAAAGAAAAATAATTGTGCCATTGAAGCATCTCATCAATAAAGATACCAAGGTGCTGCATGTCTCATTTATTAACTTCTCAAGTGTTGAATACTATTAATGCAATTATCAAAATCATGTCCAGAATTCAATCCAGGCTAGAGCAATAAGTCACACAACTTAGGCAGCAGCAGCAATGGAAGGTACAAAGGCAATGGTGGTAGCTTCATTAGTAGTGGCAGCAGAAGCAACAATGATGAATGGATACACAAAATCATGTGGAAGATGAACTTCTCACTACCAGTACTAACTCAGTCAACAGAATCACTAGTTCAAAGAAACCCAATTACAGTATCTTTTTTTTTTATTGCAATTATTCCAAGCCTACAAACATGGAAAATAAAGTTCAAAGAAACCTAGAGTTTTCTTAAAAACACTTGAAATTTTGGAAAGTTTCCAGACCTAATGGAGAGACGCAGTGCTCACGGAGCTCACAGAGAATGTAAACAAACCGGGTGGGGCGCGGTGACCATATTAGAAAGTCAGGTGAGGGGAGCCATATAGTGAGTTTTGGTCACAATTTGAAATGTCCGAATTAGCAGAACACCATAAAGCGAAACGCCGTAAAGCAAGGCCCTACTATTCCTAAACCAACTGAAAATGATACTCTGTAGAAACTATAATTCATCATTACAAAAACAAACAGTTCACTGATGAATTACATGTGCATACAAGGCACAATAGGCTCCTTGCAGTGCTGCTTGGGCATGCCAAGACATCACTTCCTTAACCATTGACCTGTTCAAATCTGACTGACCTAGTTAGTGCTGTATGACACTAGTAGGTTTAGCAATTCTTTTTAATTATAATAATAATAATGATGACTAAGCTAGTACAAATATGCCTGTTGCTCATCATTTTGTATCAACCTGAAAAAGCTGTTACACATGCAAACCATGTCTAATAAAGTTTCTGTTCTGCATTTGTACATTTCTACTAACCTGTCAGCTATACACCACCTCTTCTATATTTACCTGAGCAACACCTTCATCCCAGCCACGGATCACTTCACCTTGGCCAATTCTGAATTTAAAAGGTTTACCACGGTCTCGTGACGAATCAAACTTCTTGCCATCCATTAGAGTTCCTGAAAGTCAAAAAAAAAAAAAATTATAATTACTGAAACTAATGTATGTAATAGCCAATACCTGAGCAACCTGAAGTGGTATCTACTCACTAGTTACTCTCTTCTCTGCAAAAGGTGCATGTAATTACCTAGTTAAGTTCTTAGGTAAGCTATAACTTACAAGTTTCCTGTGGTTGTGGGACACTGTACTACCTTCAAGCCCATTTTAACATTTCAAATACAGGAAGGCCCCGCTTTACGGCGTTTCACTTTACGGCGTTCCGCTAATACGGTCATTTCAAATTATGACCAAAACTCGCTATACGGCTCCCCCCACCTGACTTTCTAATACGGTCACCGCGCCCCACCTTGTTTGTTTACATTCTTCGTGAGCTCAGTAAGCACTAAGTCTCTCCATTTTGTCTGGAAACTCCAAAATTTCAAATGTTTTTAAAAGTTATTTCATATTTTATATATACTCTGATAATTATACTTATGTATACCTGTACTTAAATAAACTTACATACTGTGCTGGCATGCAGGTACACATTAAAATCAGTAAGTGTCTTATGTCTCCAGACGTCATATTAGTAATGATAATAATCATCGAGTCTCATTTAAATGTCGTATATTACGTTAAATACACATTTTCATCAATCCATCTATGATATTTTTTCAAAATTATATAATAAACACGATACATAACATAAAAAGATGATAAATACACCCCACAATAGAATAAATAAAAATAAATATGAGATGTGGTAGCAGACGACTTGCACAAGTGACGCCATATTAGAAATGCTAATAATAATAATAATAATCACCGAGTCTCATTAAATGTTGTATATTACGTTAATATACACATTTTCATTAATCCATCCATGATATTTTTTTCAAAATTATATAATAAACACGATACATAACATAAAAAGATGATAAATACACCCTACAATAGAATAAATAAACATAAATATGAGATGTGGTAGCCAGATAACTTGTACAAGTGATGCCAAGAATAACATTTTCTCTAATCTAACATAAGAGAAAATGTGTTACTGGGGGTAACTGTAGAAAATTATTCCTTTCGTATGTATGTAAGTAAGTTTATTCAGGTATACATAAATACAGTTACATAGATTATCATACATAACATGTGTAAAGAACCTAGGATAACCCAAAAAAGTCAGTGACTTATTTCCATTGCCTTCACTCAGAGCATCATTTCTTCTCAAAATGATGTTACATGAGAATGGGAGTGTTCTTCTTTATTTATTCTACAGTATCAATGTAGAGACAACCTGTACACAATGTAACTTGTACACAAACCAGACGTGTACACTTCGTTTACAAAACTTACCCTCGCCTGGTTTGTTTACATAACTCTGCGCCTGTCCTCTCTCATGCACTCATTCTTTCTCTCTCCCATTTATTTGTTTTATCTCATTTACTTACTCCTGACCCTACATTAAGACTATAAATATTTTAAGGTAAGTAATGAGTGAACTGTATATACATTTTATCGCTCTGGGATGCTAAATATCATAGAATATATGTGTGGGTGGGTTGGCCTGGTATGGTAGCCCGGCTGACTACCATACATACCACACTTGATTTTTTACAATAAATACTACTCATCTCACCCTATATTTTAAGGTAAGTAATGAGTGAACTGTATATACATTTTATCGCTCTGGGATGCTTAAATATCATAGAATTATGTGTGGGTGGGGTGGCCTGGTATGGTAGCCTGGCTGACTACCATACATACCACACTTGATTTCTTACAATAAATACTACTTGTCTCACCCTAGATTAAGACTATAAATATTTTAAGGTAAGTAATGAGTGCACTGTGTGTGTATTGTACTTTTTTATTGTTTTTTGATGCCTGGTTCTATTGCTAACTTAATATATGTTAGTGTAAACTTGTTATCTAGTGTTTGTATGCATTTGTAAGTGGAAAAAAAGGGTGTTCCACTTTACGGCGGTTTCCGCTTTACGGCGGTAGCCTGGAACCTAACCAGCCGTATAAGTGGGGCCTTCCTGTATGTACTTTCATTGTTTGTTTTTTGTGCACTGCTATTTTCAGTTACAGTATAGTACCTCCCTGGATGGTTGCTGTCTACCAACTTACTTCCTGGGTGAGGCAGATATAACCAATCCTCTGACAGTTTCCAAGTGACTATTCCTGTGGAAAGTGAACCAAACATCCACATCCTGCCAAACCCTACACAGCTCTATGCTTGTCTGCAGTACCCAGTCTGCTACCCCCCTTCGACACAGCACTGAACAGAGCCCAGAAAATCAACACGAGGAAAGAATTTATTTGATAGGGTTTGATAATTGATTCATAGACCGGCACTAGTTTGCCACTAGCCAATTCTATCATGCCAAAATGACTAAAAGTAGAGAGACTACAGTACAATACAAGTCATACATTAACCCAGACCATAAATCAAGGGCAGAAAGGAAGGGAAGAGTAATTTTACTAAAATATTCAGATTGTTTTGGGGGGGAGGGGCCACCCTGCCTCGGTGGGATATGGCCAGTTTGTTGAATGATGATGATCCAGATTTTTGTTTAACCACAGTTGCAAGATGTGGGGGATACATTTTACTGCATCAGCAGTAAATACATTCAGTGCTTTCATATATTATGAGGAAGCTGATAATACTGTTTATACAAATTATCTGACCAAATGGGACTAGATTAGTGGTTTCCTGCAGAGCAGTCAACACGTGCAGTGTTTTCATGCCCTCGGTATCATCAAGGCTAAAGTGTGATTATAGTGGAGATAATGTTTATACACAAATTCTTTTATCACTTCAGGAGTTTCAGTCTCTAGTCTCATTTGCAAGAGGGACTCCACTAACAGCAATGTCGTTTCCATAGTGGTAATGTAAATTTTGAACTCACAGTACATATGTATTAATTTTTTTTTAACAAACCAGTGGTCTCCCACTTTGGTAGGGTAGCACCATTTACATTCTTGGAAAAGTACTCAGCAGTAACCCTTGAATTGCTGGAATTATAGTTTTGAAAATGTAGAGCCAGCCAAGAGTAAATCTATTTCCTGCAAAGTAGTGGGGCCAGCAATATAATATTTACTTTTTTTTTTTTATAACACCAGCAGTCTCCCACTGAGATAAGGTGACCCAAAAGACGAAATGCTTTCACCATCACAAATCCCCTAATCCTCCTAATCCCCAAGCTATGAATTCTCTGCATATTTACACCACACAATGCCCTCAGACTTGACATCTCCACTTCCTCCAGCCATCTCCTCATTGCAACATTCACCACCAATTCTTCACACCCCTATAAGATGGTTTGTACCACTATACTTTCATACATTCTCTTTTTTGCTTCCAATGATAACATTGTCTCTACAGATGCTTCAATGCACCACCCACCTGTTTTCCCTCATCAATTCTACGGTTCAGCTCATCTTTCACATACCAATCTGCCAACACATCCACTCCCAAATGTCTGAACACATTCTCTTCTTTCATACTCCTTCCTTCCAATCTGATATCCAATCTTTCATTACCTAAATTGTCTGTTACCCTAATCACTTTGCTCTTTCCCATATTCACAAATTTCCTTCTTTTACATACCCTCCCAAATTCGTCCACCAACCTCTGAAACTTCTCTTCATTTTAGGGTTAAAATGCGAGGAAAGTGAATACAATGTCAATACAGTATTAACTGTATATAACATATATTGCACATCAGTTTGGTTGTTAAACTCATACAGGCAGGCCCCGCTTATGCAGCATATTAGGTTCTGGGCTACTGCTGTAAAGTGGAACATAACCTTTTTTCCCCTTTCAAATGCATATAAAAGCCTGATAACATGTTTACACTATCATATTGAGTGAGTAATAGAGCTAGGCCTAAAAAATGCATATACAGTACACATATTACTTACCTTAAAATATTTTAATCCTTAGCTTACAGTAATATATTTATTGCAGGAAGTCTGAATAAATGAAGAATTGAAAACTGCTGCACTAGTAAATATACAATATTCAGTCTTAAACTGGGGTCACAGTTCTGGCCATGCCTAGCTAAGGATTTAATCACAGCACATTATTTTTATTAACACATCGACTGTTTCTCACCAAGGTAGGGTGGCCAAAAAAAGAAAAACTTTCATCATTCACTATCATTGTCTTGCCAGAGGCGCGCTTACACTATAGTTATAAAACTGCAACATTAATGGGGGTGCAATACTTTCAGGAGAAAAAAAAATCGAAAAAATTTTTATCTTACTGAAATATAGTGCATAATTCTGGCATCATTTTGATGCAGTCAGCTTGTTTCTATCACATTTCTAAGTATCTTTTTCTAAAAATGCATTTTTTTTTGTTCTTCCTGTCATCAAGAAGACACAATGCCAATTTGGTTTTTTTTTTTTTTTTTTTTTTTTTTACTCCAAAAATTTCGATTTTTATGATTGTTTATTTCCAAATACACTACTTCACACCTTCTCTGTGGAGCACATACCATGCGCAGAGCAGTAGCAGCTCAGTCGCCTGTGGGCTGCCGACCTGAGAGAAGATGCTGAGACTTGGCATGCAGTGACCATGGAGTTGTACACAGAACATAAATAAAAAAAAAACTCAGTTATTGACATTTGTAGCCACACTTTTCAAGAACTATTGGACAGATTGTCATGATTTTTGCACAGATTATTGAGGAATGATGGTTCTACAAAATGACAATAAGGAATTGCAATATCCTTCACCATTTTGTTTTTATTGATTTTCTCTCCCCCCCCCCAAAAAAAAAAAATCAAACTTTTTTATTAAGCAATCTTCTGACATTTTGCTTAATGTTTTGTCATATTATTATTAGACCTTTATACTTCATCTCATGTCAACTGAACATTGTACATCTTAATAATTCTGTAAAGTGTGGAGAGCTGTAGGCCCTATAGAATAGGGCATTATTTATTTTTTTTCTGTGTGTTCAGCAAAAAGTCTCTAAAAACAGTGAGCAATGGTCAAGTGCTG